AGATAATAAAAATTAAATTATTTATAGAAAAAATCTATGATACCAGAAAGACGGATGGAGCTAGGAGAGCCATGGCCCCCCTTATGGTCCAGAAATCCCCCACTAATAATACAATTTTCTATGTAAATTTCTCCCATCCCCAACTCCCTAACCCAATGGTTGCTTCCCTATGGGCTCATTTATATTTATTCCCCCTCCCCTTCCCTAATCCATTTTAGGTTTTGGCCCCCTCATAAAAATTTCTTAGCTCTACCCCCTGTAGGAAGACATGATATTGGAAAAGCTTCAAGTCTTTAACCAATCAAAGCACCCCCCGTAAGTTTTTATTAATACCACCTCATTGATCACCGTTTTTGTGATACCAGCTGATTGACCATAAACTTTTCCTATATTTCCGGTATTATAGTTGAACCCTTATTTGTATTATTAATTTACATTTTCACACGACCTTTAATTGTACATGTATATAAATCGTACCTTTACACTAAGGCTCAGTTTAGAAAGAATACAAATACGTATGGCTCAAAACCTTGCATTTTACATTATTTTGTATGCATTTACACAGTATATATTTATATTTATACTCCTTCCAAATTAAACCTAAAATTCTCTTAAAAAATTGCGTATTTAATTAAAGTTTTGAATTTGAAGCGATCAGGAAAGCCAAAAAAAAAATAATTAATTAAGGAAATATGGGCCATATCAATTTGATTAAGTTAATTTATTGCCAATAAGCCCACCAACGTAGAAAAGAAAATGTAACTTGGTCAATACATGAGCTGCATGCTGGCCTAAGGGCAAGAGGTATAGGTCCGCCATTAGACATTACGTCTTCACGCGGTTTATATTTCCATGTTCTTTCTTAGAGGAGAAATTATTCTTCATCTTAATCGTTCTTTTTTTTTATTATTATTATTATTTTTTTCTCATGCATAAGCAAAGCACAGTGAATCCCAGTCCACTCCTCGCTAGTTATGTACTGTGCACGCACATAGCAAACGACGACCTGGGCTGGGTCTAGGCGTCTAGCTAGGGCCGTGGAATTGGAATACCAAGACGGTTTTTGGGTTTCCGGCGAGTTGCACATGTTACCTTTATCACATTGAAAGGCAGCAATGTGGGTTCCACACCCCCGTCCCCTGCTCCCACAACTCCAATCCAACAAACAGTTTTTTGTTCTGTCAATATCATATGTAACTTCTTATTAATGTTTATTTTTCAAGTCTCTAATTATCAAATTGAAGAGAAAGTATTGATAATGGTGAAGGATTAGGATGTCGTACTGTAGGATAGAATTGGGAGTTCAAATCTCCGGTTGCCGTATAGGAATTCCAACCCTAGTAGAGACGACAAAAGAGTTCAAATGGTACCACATCGCTCTCTGCCGCATGTCTTAAGATTAAAGACCTCTCTTCTTTAGTTTTCCTCTCACAAGTCACAAAAGAATGAAGATTGGTCTCTGCGGTTGCCGTAGTAGTACCGGTGAAGAACTGGAGATAATCTCCCTTCTCACACTCTCACAAGTCACAAGTCACAAGTTTGGGCATGAAGATTGAAGAGGAGCCAAACGGAGAGGCGAATGTAAATGACTAAAGTATAAAATTTGCTTCTGGTAAAGAAAGGGTGGCGGCATTGGATTGGATGGGGGACGAGTGCATGTGCCTGAGAATGCGGGGGTGGCGCCGCGTGGTGTATCGCACGTGCCCAACTGTTGGAATTGCTACAAGAACACGTATTACCAAAAACCAAGAGAACTTAGAGACTCACATGACAGCTACCTAATCGCCCATCGGCCCATGTGCGATGCGGTAAAGGACAAGCGCCTGGGCTGCTACAATATATGGACCTCAACAAGCCCATGACAACGACACCTTAATTTATTAATTAATCAATTCAATTGTTTTGAGAACTTTTGATGGAAACCAAAAAGGAATTTTTGTTGAAAAAGAGAGAGAGATTATTCGACCTGGCTACATGTGGCACCGCCCAATAATGAGTGAGAATTGAATTCTGCTTTTCTCTTCTTTTTTTTTTTTTTTTTTTCTTCTTTTGATTAAGATTTTGTTTTCAATTCCAAGTTTCCAACACATACATAATATTTGATTAAAACATAATAAAAAATATATATATGTTGGGTTCACGACTTCACATGATTAGGTCGACCGGTAAAGCCGTTAATATCCCAAAATCTTGTTGGATTTTGGGGTCTCCCTTTTCCGGACCGTTTCTCCTCAAAATAAGTTTCGAGAAAAGCGTAGTAAATAAGACAGTGTATGTGTTACTCAAATTGAGAAGACAGAACTCAGAAGAGAGTGCTTTTTCAAGCTGAAGAGTGAAGAGTAAACTAGTAAAGGCTAAAACACTTTTCCTTGTTTCTTCACTCTTGAGTAACAAATATAATTAACCTTATCCTTACCTTAATCCAAGTAATCATAGACATGACTGCTTTTTCATTCATTTATTCAGACTTCAGAGAGACGGGTTCGTATATTACTAAGTTTTGTGGGTCCATTTGCAAGAAACCGGTGAGATACCTGACCTGCCCATCTAGAAGGAAAGATGTTTCTCTCTTAACCGAAAAAGAAAAATATAAAATAAAATCAAAGGGAAGAAAGTTTCTATTTCTTTGTAATTTTATACCTAGCATCATGCAATAGTTTAGTGACTAGTGAGTAATCAAATCCGGGATCCCGCCGAGATGGACAAAGTTTGCATTTCCACCAACCTCTTTTACGCGTTTCGCCCACTTTTTATTTTCTTCTCTGTTCCCTTTTTTCTTTCTGTGTATGTAATTGTGTGTAATTCACCCCGGACTGTGGACCACATAATGCACCACATGCATCCTGGTCCAATTACCCATTTGGGAGGTAAGTAAAAACCCGGAAAGATGGAAATATGCTTACAGAAGTCGCAAATTTGATTTTCCGGCACTTTTTCAAAGTGCTTCAATCAACACAGAATCCCTCCCAAACAGGCTCTAAACATATGGGCCCAGAACCGCTGGATGGACCGAAACGTTTAACACTGATCAAACCTCTAACAAACTATCTCAACGGGTCTTACTACCTACCGAAACTCCAGATTGGATTTGGGTTGTCAAATGTCAACTACGTATTGTAACATGTCGATTCCTTAATTATTATATGTATGAAAATACACTAATACAAACACAACAGTCAGTTTCCGGTTAGGTCGGGTTGCCTAACTATCAACCCGAATGCAGTTGAACTGACTTGACATGGGGTTAAATGCTTTTAACCTAACTTATCTGATGAAATCTAGAATCTGGCTGGGCCATACCAGTTTGTTTTCAGCACACCTCAATTTGAAACCCATATAGCTTTTGCTATCAACATAAATTACACCTCTATCAAATCCGACTCAACACATCCAACCCAACCCAACAGAGAGAAAGAGAGATCATTTTCAGGGATACTGTTTGGGAGGGCCAAATGCATTGTACTAGAGACAGTAAGACATTGAAAAAGTGTTTAAAATATCCGGCAACCTTGTCTGTTTCTTATACAAAAGAGAACCTCGTCATTTTTAATACAAACATCAACAAATAAGAAAGGATCCCAAATTAACAATTTAAAAAAAGAAGTAACCAATGACTAATTTAGTAGATAAACTAAGGAAAAAAAAAATAAAAGGAGGAACATAAAAGTCTGAGGAGTGAGTAGTGCCGCAGCCGCTTGTCGGGGATAAACAAAGAAATATTCAGATTTCCCTCCTTGAGAATTTACGATCCATACTCATGGAGTTCCCTTTTCTCCCTCTCTGCGAGCTTTTTTATCCGGCCTAGCTTGTTCCTTGTAATAAAATTATAAAAACCATTAAATAATACATAGTTTGTGAACCAATTAACCCATAAATAATACAACTACATTTAAATAATTAAAACTAATAGGAACAGAGAAAAAAATTAAGAAGAAAAGATGGATACACATATGGGTCAACCCTAACACTACAATGGTGCTTTAGTTTTTAGTTTTCTCGGGCAGTTCATACTGACTTCACAGGCAACATAGACCCTAGGCAGATGATCTAGCAGAAATCAGAAAAGGAATAAAGAAAAGAGATAAGTTTCTCACACTTTAAATTCTTTATGTTATTTTTAATGAATTATATTCTAACCCGACTCTTGGGATTAGAGATACACAGACTAAAGCTCGACGTGTGTGCATCAGACATCAGTGCATGTTATGGATATCTATCTATGGTTTCTAACGCAGGGCACATAGAATAATTATTAACTAGCAGTCTTCATTTCCGGAATTGATTCATGTAATTGTTGTCGCTGTTACACGTGGCAAAAGATGTCCACGTATGCTACGGCCACCTCCCCTCCCCCCCCCCCTTTTTTTTGTTGTGGCCAATGAAGCTTAATAGAGAAAGGAAAACGCCGTTGTTACCTACTTACTGATTACTATAGCCTCCAATAATTGGGACGTGGTTGTAAATAAAATTTAAAATGGGAAACGGAGAAATAAAACAACATAACTTGTACGTCCAGAAGTGGACTATGGTCACTCACTCCAACTTGCTAGCCAGCTAGGATGAGGACATGGTGGTTGAAGAAGATAGAACAATTTAGGCCTTTTTTTTACTCAAAATACCCCTAGCCTTTAAGAGGTAAATGAAATGTTTAGGAAGTAGAAACTTTTTGAAAAGGGCAGATTTGGAAACATACTTTTGGGCAAAGCGCTTCTTTTACCTTTTTATGATAAAAATGAAAAGGGAGGAAAAGGGGAAGGAAACCAACGGCTTTTCTCGCATAAGGAAAATCTTAACTCCATTGACGAATGACGAATGACGAGTGACGACGACGATGATAGAAAAAAAGAGTGACCAACTGACTGACTGTGCTTCTGAGAGAGTGAAAAGGATTGGGGTAAACTAGGAAAGGAATATTTCTTTTTCATTTTCGCAGAGATAGAGGTGGACGCCCTGAAAGGGCGGAGGATTTTTTACCGAGAAGAAAAAATGGCATCTTTTTTGTTTTTTAAATTTCTCCGATTGAAATTCGGGAGGTTTTAATACATTCCTTATTTTCGCTAAATTTAGATTGGGTTTCTGGAAATTGGTCAAGTCATCCCATCCTCTCCTTTTATGCACGACCCATCCTATAAATATAAAATAGCTTAGACTCTTCTACTGCTCATTACCAGCAACAGAGAGAGAAAGAGGAAATATAGGGACAGCAATCCAGAAAAGGAGAGAAAAGAGGCAGAGGGAAAGCCACACAAACGCAGACTCGCACGCGCACAGAAACAGAGAAAGAGAGATGGAAGGAATCGCTTCTGTTTGGAATTATCAAGAGGTGGACCTCTACCACTCCCATTTGCCATCTCAGAGTTTCCTTGAGATTATTTATTTTTCTGGGTTTTGTGTTTTGTTGGGTTACTATATCTGGCACTCGATCAGAGTTCCTTGCATCAAACATATCTGTTGCCATTTTGTCATTTTGCATCTCTTTCTCTGGTGGGTCAGTTTGGCGTTAGATTAAAGGTGGTAGATTCATCACTCACAGTTCTAAATAGGCGCATCTCTTGCATTCTTTCATTAGTTTTGTAACGCATGCTCCTGCTCCAGCAGAATTTTGAAGTTCAACTAATCTCTATTGACGCCAAACAATGATCTTTTAACAAGTATCCGGATTCTTTACCTTCGTTTGCAGTTAGGAAAGTAACCATGAATTGATGATTTCTTTGTACAAACGAAAGAAATTCTTTTAGGTATTCCATAAAATATTAATTTGTGGATCATTTGACTGCATTCTGCTTTCATCTTTGAGTTCTAGTTATCGGTAGTTGTTTGGAAAGAAATCTTTAAAGTTTAAACCATCATTCTAACTTTTAGCTATTTTGGTTCTAACATGGTTTCTACACTTATGATGTCTAGGGCTCTTAGCTATTTTGCTTCTAGTAAATAATAATAATGTCTAGGGCTCTCGGTTTAAACCATCTTTGAGTTCTTAGCTTGCATCTCCATGTACTTAAGTCTCCAGTTCCGTATAGCCGGGCTAAGAACTATTCTGGTCTACTGATGAGTTGTAATTTGTTGTTTCTAGTGGGATTTTCTATTCTCATTTGTAAATTGCAACCGGTCATTAAGTTTCGTAACGTCCATTTCATTTGAAAACAAGAAGGGCCCATGTAGTTGCGTTTCGTTTACCTTCTTGCGTTGGAAAAACATGTTCTAATTGAATTTTGGAGTTAGAACTTGTCGGTATTGATGGAAATTTATGCAAATTTTGGGATTTGCTGAAATTTCTACATCTCTAGTTTATATATATATATATATATATATATATTATGGTTTGACCAAAGATGCTTGGATCTTTATGGGCCCATCCCATTTTGGTGCATTTCTTCTAGTCTTATGAACTCTAGAAAGTCTTACACAAGTGGAAACTTTGGACTTCCTTTCAATGGTAAATTTCTTTGTTTGGAGCCGACTGTATCAGATTCCCTTTAGAATACTGACGTTGATTTTCATATTTCCAAGAAAAAAAAATAAACATGGCCTTGATTTATGAATATCTTCCGTTGTCATTTCTCAGGAAAGTTATTCTTTTTATACCCTGTTTTGTAGTTGCAGATCAATAAATAACAACTTCTGCCGCCCATTTTTATGATTCTTGTTCCCAGTTTTCGTTAATTAAATGTACTCAAACGTCTTATCTTATCTAACAGAGCATTGATGACCTGAAGCACAAGCTTCTCTACACCACCATTGAATTAGAATCAACGAGGATGAATGCACAGGAGGTGCTGAGGAAGAACGAGGAGAGTGTACAGCAATTACTTCAGCTCTTGAAGGTGGCTTGCCAAGAAAGAGATGAAGCAAAAGATCAGCTGCGGAGACTTCTAAACAAGGTCATGATGCCATCAAGCCCAACTGGAATCTGCCCCGTTCTCCCAATGCTTCAGCCTGAAAGCCCTCATGTACAACCGAATAAGGCGAATTCAAGCATCACAGAGTCTGACAGCCTCTCTGAATCGTACAATCACCATTCCTATGGTTCCTCCCCTGCAGAATCCTTCTTTGATGCGGTTTCATCCTCAGACCTGTCAAATATGAACATGGCCGATTCCAGTAACATGGGTTTGCAAAATCATCCCTTTGCCCAAGAAAGCAATGTCTCCAACCCAATGGGTATTGTCACGTCGGGAAATGGAGTCAACTCACTGGCCACCATGTCTTCAGGCTCTCCCAAAATTGATCAGGCTTCAATAGTAATTGAGAATCTGGTCAAAGGAAAGCAGCTTCCCCAAAAGGGGAAGCTGTTGCAGGCTGTAATGGAAGCAGGACCCCTGCTTCAGACACTTCTCGTTGCAGGACCTCTACCTAGGTGGCGAAATCCTCCCCCTCTACATCCCCTCCAGATTCCACCCGTTTCCATTAAAGGTTGTGACCCTGAAACAATCAATCAGAAGCCAGTTTCCATCCCAGATTACCCTATTCAAAGTTCAGTAAGTTCTTCATACATCGATATATCTTCTCAGATTTGTCCTACTACTATGCCTATGTCGAGTGCTGCCAGCGTTTCTGGTTCATGTCTAAACAACAAGGCACAACAGCTATCTGGTAGCATTGGTTGGGATCCCTTGCACAATCAAATCTTTCCTGGAAAGCGCCAAAGACTCCAATAAGACACCACAGAACTTTTCACTACTTGTATAAATACAAATTTAACGTGTTATATGGTGTAAATGGAATACTTTGTTTCAGGCTTTGAATGGAATGGTTTTGATGACTTTAAGTTGGGCGATTCTCATTCCCTCACTAGCATTTTCATTTTCGCAAGAAAATACGGAATGAAATTCTTAATTAAAAAAAAATGGAGACCTATGGGATGGGAGGAGATTATCAATTTATCATAAACCATTCGTGGCAGTGAGCAGACGTGTCAGGCCATTGGAAATTCCCTCCCACCAACGCACTATGCTACAGTACAGCCCAACAGCTAAACACTTCATCGACAAAGATGGTCTTCAACCATGTCTTTGTGGGTACTTCAGTCCTTGACCACTAATACGGTAATACCCTACCAAATTGGGTACCAATGAATGGTCTCAAAGAGCTTCAAACGGTATCTATCAAAGGAAGCGTTCAAACTTAGGTGAGTCCCATCAATAGATTTTTATTCTCTAACACACCCCTCACTCATGTATAGATCAATTAATATGTTGTGTTAAAATTTAGGGGCCGTTTTATAAGTTTTTTGGGAAAATCTTTTGATAGCTCTCACAGTTAAAAGATGCATTAAAATCTGAGTGGTCTGAAACCCGTTCGGTTAAAGCATGTTTTTCTGTGTAAAGATGAATAGAAAAAAAAACACAAAAGTCTCATTTAGAATTTCTCCAAAATCGCCCGTTTTAGGTTTTTTGTGTTTAGCGGTTAGATCTATCATGAACCAAACGAAAAAAGACCAAATCACAATCTATCAAACTTGCAGATAACCAATAGACCGTATAAAAAACACACTAAACGAGACATTAATTAATTATTACGGATAATAAAGATTAAATACTAGAACACTTGATCAAATAGGCTTTAATGCCATTTCAAAATAACCATTCGACCCAATCTCTCATTATTAAGTTCTTATTCTCTACTAACAATATCCCTAAATGTGGAATTAGTTTCATTTTATAATTTTCTCCATTTGTGCACACCTCAGGCCAGCTTTTCCAAGACTCGCCCGAGATAGTAGATGCGGTTTCTTGGAATGCAATGATCTGTGGGTGTAAACAGATAAAGCAAGGCTTGGATGCTTAGGTTAGGGAAGGCTTGAGGCCTCACGAATCAATTTTTCTCTGAGCAACCAACTTCACAGTTCTTGGGATGACCAAAGAGTTTATGGCATGCACTTCCCGTGAGCATCCAATTTAGCTTAATTATACGTTTAATGTGGGAAAATGGAGGATAATCTTGTAGTTTTCGAGTGTCATCAACACTCAACAGGCCACATCCAACAAAAGAGCAATTCACCTAGCGTTTTCAATCAGAAATACTACACCTATTCCTATACCCCTTTATCCCCTTTTAGTGAATTATTTAGGAGCAAGGATGAATATTTATTTCATTTCGCCATTAAGGTTCAGTTTGGAAGGAGTGCAAAATCTTGCATTTTATATGTATTTGTATTTATACTCTTTGGAAAATGGGACTAATAATAGAACAATTATGCTAGTAATAAAGAAAAGCAAATCTGTCAAGTATCAATACATAATGGAGTCCTAGTTCCATTTTTTATGGGTGAATGCATAGATATATAGTTCATCAATTGAAGGATCCGTTCATTAGAATTTTCCTTTATTCATTCGGTCTCCCTTATGAACGTTCCAATCTATAAATAATGTGTTTTTGGAGATCCAAGGGGTGAAGGAGGGAGATGATAGGTGTTTGAGAAAGAAGGATGTTATCCCTGTTAGATGGAAGAGCCCTGATTTCTAGGTTATTAAAATTAATTTTGATGCAACGTGTATTAATGGGGATTGCTCAGTTGCTTGTATTGCCAGGGATCACCAATGTCATATTCTGGATCTCAAAGCCTATAAGCTAGGTAAAACTACAGTTAATGTTGCTGAAGCGTGAGCGGCGTGGGAGGCCCACAATCTTAGTCTCAACCTTTCAAACAATTACATCATCATCGAAGGAGATTCAAGGCTTGTTGTCGAGTGTCTGAAAAAGTACTACAATCCCTCATGCAAAGTACGCCCAATTATTGAAAATTGCTACACTTTAAGAAAAAGATTAGAGGGAACGATTGAGTATCATCACATCTACGGAGAAGGAAACATGGCTGCAGACTGGCTAGCTAACTATGCACACACAAACGATGTTTCTCTCAACTCCGTCCCTATTCCTCTAAATGTATTGCTTGTTTTGATTTCTCACGGCTCCATCCCTATAGATAAAATACCATAATTGTAGGGTTTCTAGACAGTAGTAGTAGCTAATGTGAAAGATTCTCTAGCCGTCTCTTTCTCAGGCAGGCGGGGATCCTTTAGGGGCGGACATTCCACACGGGCACTGTGGTTTGAAAGGTTCTGCTTGGTGACTGACCGACTATCAGGGCGCACTCCGCAACTCCAAGCATCCTCGTTGTGGATCCCAAAGATGTATCATGTTGTCAACTCTTGGATTTCCTACTAATTAATGTCTACTCTCCTCTCTACTAACTTAATGAAATTATACCACTTTCTTCCCACCACCAAAATACCTTAGGACTGTAAAACAATTTAGCCACTGATTGTGGTTGGACAGTTTAGAATATCTCCCCATGAATGACAAGATATTCATAATGCATGACTTGAATGTTTTGCTGTTAAAGATGTAAGAAGAGTTTGTGGGTAGGAGATCCAAATTCATATAACCGGGGGTAATTCATTCCCTATGATAAAAAAACGTTGGTGAGAATGGAATTCGATCCCAAAGCCTCCACTATTACTGGCCAAAGTATTTACTAAGGCTGCATTTGGCATTCTTATTTCAAGGATTTACCTACTTTTTACAGTTAAAATGGCTCTGTTAACACTGAATTTTTAATGGTAAAATGGAGATAATAATTACTTAAAATAAGGAGGAATGCCAACCATCAGTTGATAAATTTCTCTCTCAAATGACTGTTTTTTCTCGCATAACGTTCAGGTTTCGTTAACGATAGAAGGTGTATATTCCTCGAAATAGGCCGCAGCTTTGGGTAAACTCATTTTCATAAATTTATGCCCAATCGCTTCGCGCTCACCTTCATCGTCAAATTCTTCATATATATTTTACTATTTAGAATCCAGTGAAGGATCATCAATTACAGCCTTCAAATGTCATCATCGTTCAAACGTTCGATAAAAGTTTTCGATTAGTATCATGTAATTTGGGCTTAGTGTCACTTTAGTATTCGTAACTTTAAAACATGACAATTTAGTACTTGAATTTTTAAAATATGTCAATTCAGTACCTGTCGTTAATCTGTCGTTAAGTGAAATTTGAAAAGACACAAATGTCTTTCGAGTGCCATCTAATTTTTTTTATTAACCATCCAAATGTTGACAAAAAATGAGCAGTCTCAAATCTTGGTGACCATGATTTTCAAAACTGGACTGGATCAGACCAGACTGTCAACCGGAAAAACCGGGAACCGATCACTTTTTGGCCAAAAACCATTCATTTGGTCAATGAATTGCTGACCTGGGCAGTCGAACTGTCAACCCAAACAACGGTTTTTGGCCTTTTTTTTATTTTTTCTGTCAAAGCAGGCTGTCCATTCAGATCAGACAATCGGACCATTCGACCCGGGAACCAGACCCCAATAGAGTTCCCTATCTAGTTCAGTTTTAAAAACCTTAATGGTGACCCCAATTTTCTTAAATAGAAAAGACTAAGGGTTTGAGACTATTCATCTTTATTAACTTTTTTGATGATTAATAAAAAAAAAATTAGATGACACTTAAAAGGCATTTAAATCTTTTCAAATACTACTTAACTGCTAATTAATGATAATTACTAAAGTAACAGCTTCGTCTTAATAATTTCAACTGTTAATATCCCTAACTTTCAGTATTTCAAGTATCGGTCACTTTCAATACCGCTAAATACACACGATATCATGCAACATATATCATTGTTATCAGTATTTTTTTTTTTTTTTGGTAGAAGGTATCAGTAATTAAAACCTTGCTTATTACCGGAAGCCATTAAACTGAATAAATAACTAAATAGTAATGACCGGTACAACGCTAACCCCTTAACGTTATATGTTTCCGGTATAACGTCACAATACCCGCCAATGGGCAAAAATAAAGCAAGACAGAAGACATTATTATTCTCATCTCATAAATAAATAAACTCAAGGGGAAATAGATTTATAACGGCCGTAGCTTGTTACTTCCATGGATAATTTGTTTTCCCAGCCTATAAAAATCCTCTAATTGATTTTCAAATGTCATGTTTCCATTGATTGGATATAATCTTTGCACTGTTATGTTGCGGGGAAAACCAAATTTCATAGGTTGGTTTTCATAACCACTCGAAGAAGCGTCCTTTTTGCATAACGGTCGGCAACGGTAGATATTAGAATGAAGACTAGGGGTGTTCACGGCTCGGTAACCGTTGGCTTATTTTTGAAATCGAACTGGGGCTACGGGCAACCGAAATCAAACCGTGACCAGTTAATCAGTTGATCAGTTCGGTTTGTCGGTTTTTCAGTTTTTAATTATTTATAATATATAAATATATAATAAATAAAAAATTAGAAATATATATATAATATTATATTTTAAATTATATATTATATATTATATATTATAAATATATATTTATATATAATGCATATTTGTTAATTTATGATGTATAAAAAATATAAAATATACATAAATATATCGATTCGGTTAACCACTGATTTTCTATTTTGGTTAACTGAAACCGAACTGGTACCTTCGATTTTTTTAAAATGCCAAACCGACCGGTATAGTTAATGAAATTTTTTATTCAGTTTCGGTCAGTTTTTCGGTTCGATTCGATTTTTCTTATTCACCCCTAATGAAGAGAAAATGTCACGTGTGGAAAGAATCATCTCACCACTGGATGAATTGGGATCTACTCGTAAAATGCGCCTCAGCCCCATCCCACCATGTATTTGGAACATCTTCCATACTCTCTGTTCTTCATAAGGAGATGTTTCCAATACACAGTGAGATGGGGTCCGTGTGAAGTACGCTCTATGAGGAGCAGATCTTGACTCCCACCGAATAGGCCAACTGGCTAAGTCCAGATTTAGTCCTCACCAAATCCATTATCCATCCTCACACTGTCCTCACTCCTCACAGCCCTTGCAACTCAGTCTGGATCACCCACCAACAAAACACGTTCCAACTTCCAACCCTCTATCAACATAATCTCAAAACGCACATCTCATACATGACAAATCCCACTTTAATGGCGGGTCCCAGTCTCATAGTGAGTCATGCGATGTTAGATGAAATTGGCAAAGAGTTGGAACGTGCTTTGTTGGTAGAAAACCTCAACTCCATGCAACTGTGCATAGGGGTTATTACTTTTTCACTCGTGAAGGCATTCCCAATACACAGTTTTAAAGGTTGTGAAGACTTTGAAAGGGCAGATTTTGTGAGGATAAAATCCCAATTGACCAATTCTCGGCCAAGTAAAGGCTGTACAGCAACACCGGATGAGATTAAAATGCAAGCACCGGATGTTAGATGTAAGCCTGTAACCTTCAGCTGGATCTTTGGCACATGACTGGGTCCGGCTGATTTATTTAATCAATGTATGAACAATTAAATCGTCACAATAATTGAGGGAATGAAGAAACGGGATGGCTCCCACATCCCGATTCCATCAAATTTTACGCAAAAACGGAACAATAAAATGTATATGATACATTAAGAGAAAAAGCGGAGGGTGGGGGTTAGTGTATTCATACATAAGGTGTGTGGGGAATCCAAGTTTGGCATCCATCAATCCACAATCCTCTCTGCGTGCAGACCTTCAACTCTATTCTTCAAAAATCCCACGCTAAAGGCTGCACGGCACGGCCAGTGGTATAGCAACGACTAGCAATTAATACTGAATACCAAAGAGCTTCAAAAAACGAGGGCCAGGAGGAAAAAAAGAATGAATCGCGGCAATTCCATTGCCACCTGGATGAGAATCATGAGATTATAACAGGCTACAACCCTCTTTTTGATTAATTAACAAATTAATAATACCATGGAAGCACAGATGCACACGTGCCTCCAAAAGAATATGCACCGCAACTCTACTGTTCTCCGAGCGTTGCCCCTTCAACCCCCCCCCCAACCCAAAACCCCAAAAATAAACAAACAAAAAACGATCTCGAAACCCCCAATCTTCAATCCTTACTTTGAACATTGTTAACCACGCACCAACCCAACCCAAATATAATGTTGTTACAAACCCATCAGTTCTCTTCACCCATATTGCAGAGTTTCGCCAACAGATACCATCCAAAGAACCCAGCGGGGCTTTGATGCCTCCCGTATTTAGGAAATGGGCTGAAAGAGAGAACTTCACCAATGAAACACCCACAAATTACATCAACAGAACCCTGCCTACATAAGCCGATGCTGCCGTAAACCCTTCCCGAAATGAGGTTGCATCAACCGGACATATAACCCATTCAAAGTTACCAGTTGATCGTGGGTTCCTTGCTCCACAATTCTCCCACCATTAAGAACTACAATATTATCTACATGCTTCATCATTGCCGCCCTGTGAGCAATAAGAATGGTCGTCTTGTTCCCCATTATAAGTGTATCGAGAGCCTCCTGCACAACCCGGCTTGACTCAGACTCAATTGAGGAGCTGGCCTCATCCAAAAGCAAGATTGGTGCATTCTTCAGCACTACCCGGGCAATGGCTATCCTCTGCTTCTGTCCTGGTGTTAGATCTACACCTCTCATGCCCACATGTGTGTCATAACCATGAGGCAAGCTGCTAATGAAATGGTGAGCATTAGCTATTCTGGCTGCCTCTTTCATCTCAGCCTCGGTTGCATTGTGCCTTGCATATATGATGTTCTCCCGTATGGTGGTTGAGAAGATAATGGGTTCCTGTTGAACAAGACCCAGGTGATTCCTCAACCATTTGAGATTAAACAACTTCAAATCACGACCATCCAGTAAAATTTGACCAGCAACTGGATCATAGAATCTCTCTATTAGAGATATTAAAGTGCTCTTTCCAGAACCTGAAACCCCCACCACAGCCACAGTTTGTCCTCCACCGACTTTGAGACTAAAATTGCTCAATACCATCAATTCTGGACGAGTTGGGTAACAGAAATCAACATTTTTCAGCTCAATGCTTCCAAACACATTAGGAGGTTTAAGTCCAGAGCTATCATCTGGGTCAATCTTAGGAACACGATCTATGATTTCAAATACTGAAGTAAGAGAGTTACGTCGCTTGAGAATGTAAGGAGCCAGGCCAAATGGTTCTACCAGTGCAAAGGTTGCAAAGGAGAAGACAATGTACTCTTTGAGAGCTGTTGACAGATTCAGATAGCCTTTTTTAACAGAGACAGCAGTATACCAGAGAAGGAGGGCATTACAAGCAAAAAGCAGGAATTGTGAAAAACCAAAGGCAAAACCAATGGCCATTCCGTGGAGGAAGCTCTGCTTGAATATTTTCCCTAACTGTAACCTGTAGAGTTCCATCACCTTGTTGCCTGCACAGAATGCAACAACAGTATAGATATTTCTTACTGCATCTTCAAGCACCAAAGAAGCCTTCCTGTGCATCTCCTGTATGCCTCTTGAAAACCCCGCAAGCCACAACTTCTGCAAAGCACAGACTCACAGCCACTCAAGATTTGAAACAAGGGACAAGTTGCATATTCATGATTTTTGATAAAGGATAGATGAAATAAAATGCATCACAATAAATAAATCCTTCCTACTAAAGTACACACCGACAAGTAAAGAATCGTGGGTTCATATCATATTGTAATCCAACCAGCCAAATGCAAAACAATTTATGCTAAGTTAATTAGACATTGGTTAGACTCCAGTTGGACCCAATAACAACCTAACTTCCTGAAACAAATCCTGATAGATAGTTGGTTTAGTGAAAAGCAATGAATCCCCACATCCACCCCCCACCAGGGAGAGGGGTCACCAACATGGCTTAGCATATGCAAGATGGAAGGTTTAACTTTGTGCATATATGGAGTTTGATATACATCATTATCAAAAAACAATTGACTATTGATCCCGTCATCTGTTCTTCTATTACATACAGAAAACTATCTCCAGGGTTAATATTTTTAACTACACATATGGGCATGTATATGCAGAAAACCTATTCCAGGTAACCAAACATGTTAAGGTATTCACAACTGATGTAAACAAAGAAGCAAGGAAAGAATCCATGGAGAATTGAATCATTTTTCCAATTCCTACACCAATTTCGGAATTTTTTTGAGTGTCTTAATAATAGGGTTTTAAGTTTTCTAGAACTTTACATTTACTGCTTGTAAGGAAAGAACATGGAGAATTGAATCAGTTTTCCAATTCTTACACCAATTTCAGAATTTTTGGGTGATATTGATATTGTTTTTCTTATTTCTAGTTATAGGTGTCTTAATAATAGGGTTTTAAGTTTTCTAGAAATTTACATGTATTCCAAAATTTACCATCTATGGTAACATTTAACTTACTATTTATAGTAAACTCACATTAGAAGCTGTTTGATAACAGATGAAGATGGCATACCTCCTTAAAAACTTATTCACTAAAACATAAAGCAATAAGCTTTTCAGTTCAGCATCTTCAGCTGTTACCAAACGGCCCCTTAGTAAGGTTTTATAGAGTTGTTTAGGAGTTCAAGTCCTTGTTTAAGTGTCCCTATAACCTATGGATTTGTCTTAGTCTTAAAGCAATTAAAAGTTGATTTGGATCAGTTTCCAAGTCCAAATTGGAGTTACAGGGATATCAGAATTTATAAGTTGAGTCTATAAGTAGAATGTTGAGTTCCTACTCAACACAGGAATCACCTTGAAGGTGACTCAACCTCCTTGCAAGAAAAGAGATAAGAGTGAGAGAAGAAAGTGGTAAGAGATCTCAGTTGTCCAATTCTTATTACTCAACCGAGCGACGGTGAACGATGGCGGCAACGATGGTAACGGTGAGCGAAGGTGGTGTGTTCTGGAGGCGATGAGCAAAGAAACTGAAGATGAGGAGAGTTATGAGACTCTTGAAAGATTTCAGGCCAATAAGCCTACTGAATAGTTTCTACAAGCTTCTTGCAAAAGTGCTGGCCGAAAGATTAAAGAAGAATCTAGGAAGTGAAATTTCCAAAAACCAGTGTGTTTTTATTGGTGGAAGACAAATCTTGGACAGAGCTTTAATTGCCAATGAAGTGATTGATTCAAGAACGAGGGCAGGAAAACCAGGAATTCTATGTAAAGTGGATCTTGAAAAAGCCTATGACCATGTCAATTGGAGATGCCTAAATTTCATTCTTGAGAAAATGAACTTCAGCCAGAAATGGAGAAACTAGATGAAGGTATGTTTTTCTTCACCAAAATTTTCTGTTATAATTAATGGAAATTCATCTGGCTTCTTCAAAAGTTCAAGAGGCATTCGCCAAGGAGAGGCAATTAAAATTATAAAATCATTATTTTTGTATGAAAATTAAGAATTTAAGACCCTAACATGGACTTGAAAATGTTTTATATGTTTCATTTTATTTTTAAATTTTTATTTGAATATGCTTTACATGTTATGTTTATGTATTTTAACTTTAAAGTAGGTTTTTTAAAAACAATTATTTTAAAATTTTAAGTTTATATTTTTTATTAATATTATGTTCAATATTTTTTACTTTCTGCATTTTTTACTTTTTTAATTTTCTAACATTTATTGACTTTTTAGCATTTTTGTGTATTTCTGTGCCTTGCATCAAAAAGGCGCACACCTCGCCTTGAGGCTTGCTCTTTTAAAACACTGGTCACCTCTTCTTTTCCTTTTGTGTGATGGAAGTCCTGACCCAATTCATCAATCGAGCAAGAAAGTCTGGTCCTTGGGAGGGCTTTGAAATTAAGCCAGGGGTGAAAGGGCCAATGTGCTCCACTTTGTTGATGACACATTGTGTTTTGTTGATGCTTCTTTTGCTCAATTAGAAACACTAGTGGGAATTTTTTCTTGGTTTGAAGTGGTAACAAGGCTAAAGCTGAACTTGGGAAAATGTTCTCTGATTTCGGTGGGTAGAATTGAGGACATAGCTGTGTGGGCAGATGCCCTGGATTAGTGAACAAGCTCCCAACTACCTATCTTGGGCTCCCAGCAATATGGGAGCCGGTGTTGGAAAGACTTGAGAGGAAACTCACTTCCTGGAAGGCAAAATACCTTTCAAAAGGGGGAAGAGTTACCCTGATTAAAAGCACTCTTGCGAACCTGCCAACTTATTTTCTCTCTCTTCCCCATCCCTAGCACAATAGCAAAGAGAATAGAAAAATTACAAAGAGACTTTTTATGGAAAGGGTGGGAAGATGAAAAAAAGATCCACATGATAGCATGGGATCAGATCTAAACTCCAGGTCCTTTGGGACTGAGAAGAATCAAAACTTTCAACACAGCCTTATAGGGAAAGTGGATCTGGAGATTTGGAGTGGAAGCAAACAGCTGGTGGAGGAAACCCATTGCATCCAAATATGGTCTTCAACCGAGGGGATGGACAACTGCTATCAACTTGCCTTCATATGGATACTCGCTATGGAAAGCTATATTGAAAACTCTTCCTAGTGTCCTAAAAGGGGTGGGTTTCAAGTTAGGAGATGGGGGAAGAATCCACTTCTGGAAGGACAAATGGCTTGATGATGTACCTTTGGAAGAGAAATTTCCTATGCTATCCTCAGCGGCTGAGGATAAAGAGGCAATAGTTGCTAACTCTTTCGAGTTAGTCCGAGGTAAAGTAGTGTGGAAGCCTAAATTCTGAAGAGATTTTCAAGACTGGGAGGTGGATGAAGTTGTGAACTAGTCAAATAGCTTAAATACATTTTCTTTTCAGACCCATTCAGAAGACCAATGGATCTGGAATTGGACTGCTGATGGAAAGTTATCGGTTAGATCTTTTGCTGATAGTCTGACTATTAGAAGGGCAACTGATTTCCCCTGTAAACAGATGTGGAGCCCTCATTCTCCATCCAAAAGCAATTTCTTGACGTGGGCCTCAGCACTAGGGAAGTGCCTAACAAGAATCAACCTGGCAAAAAGAGGTTTTCAGCATAGATGACCTTAGCTTTGGAATCTGTGGTCTTGAAGAGGAATCCATTGAACATCTCTGAGTTCATTGCAAGTCCGCCTGGACTATCTGGTCTCATTTCTTTGATGCTGTTGGTGTTTATTGGGTAATGTCAGGTACAGCGAATGCATTTGGAGAGCCATACCAGCAGCAGTAATCAGCACTATATGGTCTGAGAGGAATGGCAGAGTTTTCATGAAAGAGAAGAAAGAACGTGAGGTGTTAATCCAGAGTATTGTGGCCAGACTTGCTTCTTGGCTTTCTATCATCCCTGAGTTTTGTAATCAGAACTTGTTTGTGATGCTTAGCTCAGTTAGTTTGTGGGAGCTGTGATCATATCCTTTGGGGGTGAACTGGCCTGTGGTTTCCCCCATTCTTGTATGATTATCTTTTCTTCATTAATAAAATTTACCTTACCTCTTTTCAAAAAAAAAAAATCTTCTTATTACAACTGAATGATGCCCTCAGATCCAGCCATTTTTACTAGCAGACACGGCTTTCTTTTGTAGACAAATCGAATGGGTAGAGCTGGGAGCAACTGGCATCCCTCATGAGACAAAGGTGGGCTTGCATGGCTGACTGATGAACCTTGGGCTGGATTTTATCAATTCCCCCATCCCCACTCTCTGAGATCAACCTTGTCCTCAAGGTTGAGAAGTGGGAACTAGTACTATAGTTGCTAATATGGTTCCCATGTGGCATCCTTGGTGGATAAGTTGGTCCAAAGTATTAGAGCTTCTGGGAACACCTTATTGCCTTCTTTGACCCATCAAAGAACATCTGAGGTAAATTTCCAAGCACCAATTTACCCCTTCCATTAACCATCAATTTGAGTGTGGTAGCAGTAGTGTAACTTGATTCCCTGAACATGGAAGTATTTGGCCCAAAATTTGCTCATAGAAGTCTGGTCTTGATCCGTGACAATAGCCATAGGAGTGTCATATAGCTTTTCAATTTTTTGCACAAAAATTTTTGCCAGAAAGGAAGTTGTATTGAGGTGAGGCAAGGCAACGAAGTAGGCATATTTAGTGAGTCTATCCACTACTACCAAAACTAGTAATGGTTTACTACCAAAAAAAAACTAGCAATGGTAACTTTCATTTAGTAGTTCATAAAATAATTACATCGAGACTCCAAATGAGTGCTGGTCCCACAAGATAGTGGATGTTTTGATTAGTAACTGTACCAAAATTATGGATTTGCCCATTGAAGAGGGAATCCCAGTGATGAAGCCCTTAGAGATTTCATCACAAACCTGCCAAGGAAGGAGTGGCTACTCAAGGACAGTTAGAGCTTGTGTGTCATACTTGTGTTATTCACATATATGCAAGCTGCCACATATTCTTTCACCTGTCTTTTGATGTCTTGCCAATAGTAGTGGCCGGAGATTAAATGGTAAGTGTGCAGGACTTTGGAGTGGCCACCTACTGTGGAGTGCGGACTCATGAAACAGGTGTAGAAGGAATGTGGGTGGATTTGGGGACCACCACAAGATGGCCATGACAATACAGGACTGAGTCAACCACCGTGTACCCATAAACAGTTGTAGAAGTTAAGGAATGTGGGTGGATTTGGGGACCACCACAACATGGCCACGACAATACAGGACTGAGTCAACCACTGTGTACCCATAAACAGCTATCGGGTTTTGGTTCCATTGGGCCCTAATGCATCAATAGTGGATCAAGTTGGGCCTCTTCCACTGTAATCCAACAAGGGAAAGATGGGCCAAGAGACTCATTTAACCCAGCTCAAGGTTACCCAGAGGGCATCCACTGCTAAGTTTGTAGGTCTCGGTGTATATTCAATTTGATAATCATACCCCATGAGCTTACAAGTCCACTTTTGTTGAACACTGTTCAAACCTCGTTGATTCACTAGATATTTCAGACTCCTCTGGTCCATCCAAATGATAAAATAATGGCCTAAAAGATAAGCTCACCACTTCTAGACTGCGAAAACAACTGCCACTTGCTCATAAGTTGACTTGGCTTGGGCCTAGGTTGAGAGAGCCTTACTGAAGCAGGCTAAGGGCTGCTCTTTTTGCATCAATACAGTACCTACTCCACACCCCGAAGCATCACTTTTTTTTGACAAGTCCCCGAAGCATCACATTCAATCTTGAATGACTTTGAAAAGCCCAATACGGCTAGAAATGGAGAAGTCCCAACCCGTTTGAGATCTTCAAATGTTTGTTGGGCTTGCAACTTTTACACGAAGTTATCCAGAATGAGAAATTGGAATAGTGGGGCTTCCAACAACCCATGCCCCTTTATAAATCTTCACATGCAAAAGATCCATACCTCACACACAAGGCTCCTATGTAGTATGGCCATATAACTTTAGGATGTGATCTCTGATACGACTGAAGCCATGAATCACATCACGGTCAAGATAGATTGACATGATCAACACTCGTTGGTAGCTTAAAGATCCAAGAAACTGGATCCTCACCTGAAAATGTAGAGAAATCTAGCTTAGCAGACATTTCAATGCAGCCACTTCCTTCACGAGAGCTTCCATTGCTCAATCCTTCATTCTCACTCTCCCTTGCACTGGATATCGCCATTCTTTCACATCCTGACATCACGGCAGAGAGCACTTCTTGATTTCTTGCACCCCCACCCCCTAAACTTGTACAGACTGATTTCAATTTGAACCACCCTACATTCCAGCATCACAGATCTGGTGTTGGTCATGGAAACAACCATGTTCTGATGCCAAATCATAGAGTTCCTACTCAAATTCAACTCATGAGTCACTTCAAGGGTACTCAACCTCCTTACAAGAAGAGAGAGAGAAAGAGAGAGAGAGAGAGAGAAGAAAGTGGTAAGAGATGTTATTTGTCTAATTCTTACCCTAGGGGTTATGAGTAGTTTGGTACTAGGGATGGAAATTTCCCCATTCCCCCGACAGGGAGAGCACCCCCATGAGAGCACCCCCCCCCCACCCCCATGAGATCCCTTCTTAATAAAACTACTAAAATATCTTTGATATATATAAAATTCAAACCCTATATATTTGGGTTTTTTTATCTTGGGATTGATGTTGAGTATTTGTGTTTTCCTATGAATTAGTTAATGATTTATGCTAATACTTTTAAAAATATGATTGAATATGTTTGAATAGATTTGGAAATATTTTTGCTAGGACTGTAATTTGCAACTATTTTATTTAAAAAAAAAATTGGGAATGAAGTAGAAATCAAAAACAAAGCAAAATTTGGCATCTTCAAAAAAATGGTGGGGAGTAGGGATCCCCATGTGGACGAGGGCGGGGAAATTCCTATCTTTGTCGGCAGGGACGGGGATGGGGAGTGTCTCCCCATGTTTGCCCCGCCCCATTGCCATTCCTAGCAGGTACCCAGGCCTGAGGTGGGCTTGCATGCCAAGAAATGAGGGAGTCTTGGGCTGGGTTCTATCATAGAGTCATTGTAATTGCAATTAAAAGATTGATTTGATGAAATAAAGTTTAGTTACTAAATTCTGGTTTTTGCCAGAAATTCTGTCTTTCTCTCTTTCACCTATTTCTTCTTATAAGAATTCTGTCTCTCTGTCATTTACCTTAACAGAAAGAGTTCCCTTTCTAAGTTCTTGCTCATTCTTTGGCATTGTAACAAGCTATATACTTGATTTTTTACCCCTCATTCTTAATCGGCCCAAACCCCTCCTTTACCCCACAAAGCCCATTACCTGACCTGGAATTTGTAGGACCCTACCCTGTCATACAACAAACACTAGCGAAACAGGGACCAGTAGAGATCCAATTTTTTGAGTGTCAAGACACTGATGGGAGCTGATGTAACATAAAAAGAATATTATAAAAGCTAAGGCAGGGAACTATGGGCATACGATGATGAACTGGGTAGTTCTTGTGCTCTTTGTAATGTATAGACTCTATTCACCATCATTTAATAAAATTGAAATGGAGCAGAAGATCTTCATAGCTGACCAATCCAGAGAGTCACCTAGTTGGTGGTGGTTCCAGTTGGCCTCATCCTTCCAGGTAGGAGATACATAGAAGGTCATGTATGGGCATTCCCTACTTGACCCAATTAGAGAGCCTCCCTAATAATAACATTGATGTAGGGAGCTTCCTTACATGTGGAGGGATGATGAAGACAAAACCCTCTGGAATAGCCACCTGTACAATCTTCCAGCTTACATCATCCTAATCCCAACCTTTTATTGATGTCTTCTACATGGGAAGCTTCAAATTTTAATATAAAACTTGCCTAAAAAGAAGAGTATTCTGATCACATGGCAAGAATTTTGTTGGGCTCAAAATTGTCTCATTTATAAGTGATGAAGGAAGATTTGGCCCGACCTCATAACCACTCAACACGTGGCAAAGGCAACAGTTCGGCACAACAGCTCGCCAAGGCGCGAGCTCCGAGAGGAGGAACCAGTGGTCTGAACTCCCCACAAGGAGTCCGAGCTCTCCCTTAGGCCCCGAGCCTTACGAACACAAAAGGCAACAACCCGAACTGGCCTGCCCCACGGCAGTTCGGGCCACACTTCTATCCAAACTCAAGACTTAACCTCGCACACCACTCCAGCACTTCGCCCCCGAAACACCGAACTGAACAAACCGTACCTGACACCGAAGGAGTCCGTATCCAAGGGCGGCACACCTGATTGAGTTGGGATCTGACGCTTGACAGCCGCATTCCAACGGCCACCTGCCACCGCCATCTCCAGTTACAGAGACGGCTCCGACAAGGAGCAGTGGCGGTTCTGTCCCAACAGAGGTAATGACACCCGAACTGGCAGAAGCACAGAAGTAATCATGCCCGACCTGACAGAGGCCTCGGAGTGAGTGCGCGAGGTGGTTATAAAAAGGCTCTCTACCCCCCGAGGAAGGTATGAGAACTTTGCGCCATCTAGTTTTGTCTTGCCTTTGAGAGAATACTAACTTGAGCTTCGGAGTGATCTCGCCGGGTTCCTCCCCGGAGATTCCCCACTTTCTTCATTTCAGGCCCCCCTGTTGCTCCAATCAGAGGCAAGGTCGTTGACAGCTAGGATCGACCGGATTGCGCACCATCAATAAGGGTATAAAAAGAATTTTCTGGGGCCATTTTTTAGCCAAACTTATTTGCCACATGGAATATTCCTTGATCGCTCAGCTGCTGTCTGCTAATATTATCTTGTTCAGCGTTTTAAAATGTTTGACATAAAATAAGCTTTTCGAAATAGAGAGTTCATAAATAATAAATGCGCGTGCACATTTGCATCAAGATAATGCTAGCAAGGGGCACAAGCTCAAACCTGTGCAATAGCTGACACTGTAAGTATAGGTAGTGTTGCCAAGGCCACAAGTGCTAATCTCCATTGCAGCAGCATACCAATAAGAACAGCTATCACAACAGCTGCAGTGTCCTGGATAAATATAGAAAGCCGGTTGCTAAAAGCAGCACGTACAAATGTAGCATCATTTGCTAATCGCATGGATAAGTTGTCAGCACTGTTCTCCTCTTCATCAAACCATCCAACTTCATTTCGCAGCATTGCTGCATGGAAACAAAAATGGATTAGCTCAGAATGAAAAGTTTTTTTTTTCAAATAATGTAGAAACACAAAAAAAAATGTTAACACTTCATGCTTGAGGAAAGAGGTAATTAAAGACCAAGAAGATATCATTTACCTGAGAACATCATTCTCCTAACTCTTTCAGTCATTTTCTCCCCCATAATACCAAAATAGAAGTGTTGCAAAAAATTCGCAAACACTGTTACAATACCCATGCATGCAATGATTAAGCACCATTTGTCCACTTCACGACCTAAGTGACGACGATCTTCACCCTCTCTATAATATTCCATCACAATAAGTGCAATAACATAAGCAAGAAGAGGATTAAAAGAACCAAAAATTGCAGCACCAATGCTTCCTAGAACAGCATAAAGCCACTCTGCAAAACTGAGCTCTGCAAGCCTCCAAAATGATGGAGGCTTCTGATGTTGCATATCCCTTGATTCCCTGTTCTTCACAGGCACATTATCAAATTGGCAGAGGGGTCGACTGAAAGTTTTTGAGTGGGAACGTTCATTCTTGGGATCAGATGTCAATAATGGTGAAATAGGGGACTCAGGGTCAGAAGCATTTGATGTTTGTCGATGTGCACTATGAACATCAATTTTGGGCAGCTCTGGTAATCTCATTTCAAAACTGTCCTGCCTTTTAATGGATGGTACTTTATCTGTTGTGTCCAAGGGCACTCCATTTTCCAACATTTGTTCTGATGGTGGGCTCTGGATTTTCGGTGATTCTTGTGAATTAAAGGTGCCATCTGGGGCCCGAAAAGCATAGATTCCATGCACTCTCTGAAGAGATGGTGATTTAGCCATCTTAGGAGATGATGATTCTTGAAGGCTTTGACTTCCTGATGAATCCTTTTCAATTTGGAAAGTGGTTGTCTCCTTGTAATTCCTTATTGGTGTCCTGAAAAAAATATAGAACACATGAAACAGAAATTTATGGAGAATATATCCTTGCTAAAACTATGTTGCAGGAAGATATAAAGTTTGTATTATTGTACCAGTTAGAGATACAGATAAATACACCACAAAGCCAAACAAGATATCTCTATGCCACAAGGTGATACAAAATATTCCACCATGTACAGCAGAACCATGTATAATTACCTCTTAGGAAGCTTTGCTGCTTCTTCACATCTAAGAAGCTCTGCATATAGCCCATCCAGATTTAGCAACTCATCATGTGTACCCATTTCAACAAGTTGGCCTTCCTCCATGACCGCTATATAATCAGCATTCCTTATAAGACCAAGCCTTCGAGCTATTATAATAGTTGACCTTCCCAACATCAGGATATCTAAAGCCTCCTGAACAACCCTTTCGGCTTCAAAATCAAGGCCACCAGTGACCTCATCAAGCAGAAGAATAGACGGATTCGAAAGCACTGCCCTGGCAATGGAAAGTTTTATTTTCTGTTCTTCTGTTAATGGTAAACCAGCCCTACCCACCTGGAATGCACAAAATTATAAGAATGCTATTCATCAGAAACTAAAGGCTAAATTTAATATTCCATGTACTACCTAGAGTTCTACCTGTGTCTCATATCCTTTTTCAAGGGAGCTGATAAATGTATGTGCATGTGCTATTTTAGCAGCTTCTTCAATTTGATCAATGGTTGCAGATCGACCATAAGCAATGTTATCTCTAATGCTCAAACTTAGCAAGGCAGGTTCCTGGGTAACCAATCCTATTTGGCTTCTTAACCATTCCAGTTTCAAACTTTTAATATTCTCTCCATCCAGAAGGACTTCTCCTGCCAAACAAAAGAAACGGCTCTTAGGAAAAAAGCAGTTGGAGTTCCAGAAAGAAAACCCTGAAGAAAAGAAAGAGAATATTCACAGGCAGGAGTCAGAAAATTTTCATTGGCCATAAATACCTAATGTAGGATCATAAAACCGCTCCATGAGAGGGATTATACTGCTTTTCCCCGAGCCATTTCTGCCAACAAGTGCTACAGTTTTCCTAGCAGGTACAGTGAGGTAAAACCCGCTTAAAATAGGTATTTCAGGGCGAGAGAGGTAACTGAAATACACATTGCGGAACTCAATGTTTCCCTGTACAGAAACTAATGTATTCCCATCCTGATTGACAGAAGAGGTTGAACGACTTATCATCTCAAAAAGCCTATAAGCTGCAATACGCCCTTGTTCAAAAGAGTAGAAGTTTGTTGCTGCTTGATTCAATCCACTAGAAAAGACAATATAACCAAGATAAGATAAATAATAAAAAGGAGAAGAAGCATCAAAATGATAAGAAGAAAATGAGATTCGGATGCTCACAGGCCACTTAAAATCACAGCAAAGAGTGATATTATAATTTCACCACCATGGGCTTTTCCATGTTTAACCAAAAACCTTCCTACCCAGAGTTGCAAAGAACAGGAACATATTGCAAGCCCATATGTAAAACCAAGCCCAAGGCCTTGGACAAGACTTATCAATATACCATATCTCAGTGTTGCTTGGAGTGAAGTTGCATAAGAATACTTGGCCAATGTTTCATTTGTGAATGCATATAAGGTCCTAATGTAAGAGACTGCCTGCACAAGTAACAAAGTTGTGTTCCATAACAAATCATTGAATGAACAAATCACTAAATAACAGTCTAAACTCTAATTTGGATTTTCTTGAACAAATAAAATAATTAAAGATCAATTTTACCCACATTAAAATATTGATCCCTAAACTCTTGTGATCTAAAAATAAGTTTCCCACAAAGTCAATAACATAAAAAATAAGTACATAACATAATGCAAGGTGCCAACCGGTTGGTTGGTAAGGTCTACTGCTGGTGGTAGCGGAGACTTGGGATTGAATCCTGCCTGCACCTGGGTGGGGTGGGGGGGATTATGGGTTTGGGAGATGGGCTACTCCCATTGTGTACCCCATTGGAGCAAAAAAAAATCTAACTTTAGATCAGTCTAGCAAAAAAAAGTACATAACATAATATATAAGTAAATTGTTAACCTAAGTTGAAAAATGACAACAAATAATTTGGCAGAATAGAGCATTAACTGTGGCTTTCATAGGCATTTCTTCTCAAAATACACATAGTTTTATCTCAAAGTATTAATTAATAGTATGTAAATTCACCAATAGGTTTTCCACAACTAATAATATATTATCATGCTATTCAGTGAGTGGTGACTTGAGTTCAAAAAAGGTAGCAAATATTTAAAATATAGAAAGCCATTAGCCATATAATTCTCAATCATTTCCTCCCAAAACAGGAATTGTTACTGCATCTAAACCATCAAGCTCATGCCTCATGCAACCCCCTCCCCTTTTTTCTTAAATACATTCTCAATCTCCAACACCAAAGAATGAACATCAGAGACATTGTCAATAATTTAATTCATCTTATTCATTAAATCGAAAAATAACCACTTCTTGCATTGTATCATGCATCAATTCTTCTATAACTTCTATCTTAGAGGCCAAGTTTGACACGTTCATCCAAGAAATATAAGTTAAATTACCAGAAATCTTAACACATTAAAACAAACCAATTAACCAATAAGGAAAAATCTCATTTAACATCAGGCTCAGAAACACCACAAACTGAGAACAAGTAAAATTAAGTATAGAAAGAAAAAATGACCTGTTCAGCAATACTTGCTGCCTCAGCATATGCATCTTGAATATTTTCAGCAAGCCTGTGGAGAAATATGTTAGATATTCCTCCTGCAGCAACAATAAATGGGCCAGTGGCTAAGGTGATGAGTGCAATCTGCCAACAATTTACCAATCCAATGACAAGACCACTGAAAAATGTAGCCATGTTATGAATATAATTCCCAACCTGTCACATAAGATGTTCACCATCAGAACTAACACCCAATAGACTAGTCAGCTGCATGAAGCTAAGAGAATTTTCAAAATAATCATAACCCCTTCAAAGGGAGAAGCAACATTTGAGGCTGAAACATACTTTCTCACTGAGAGCAGACTGAATGAGTAGTACATCACTCAATACTTGGCTTACAATATCCCCATTGTTCCCATATGTGTCAAAAAAACTCATGTCCTGATTAAGTAGTACTTGGACATACTTTGACCTAATGACTGCAGTCTGCCTCTCTCCAGTAAGAATCCAGCATGACACCTCTGTTATATAGAGTTGATTAGTATTGGATGCTACAAGAAGTATACAAGAGTAAACAGAAATGCAAATATTACAACAATGCATATTCATCTTACCAATCCAACCTGCAGCAAAAACACCAGCAGCTATATAAACAACGTATAGAGCATGCTGCAAAATGAACAAAAGCAACATTTAATTTAGGCAAAGCCTACGCTTGAATTTTCAATTATCAAATATATTGGAACAGAAAAGAAAAAGACCTTGACTTGAAAGGAAGGATAACTAAGCCTCAAAAGTTAACATAGCTAGTTGGGTTGATTACTATGCACTTAATATTTATTATATGATTATATTATCCACTAAAAGTAAAGCAATGAAACATTTAGTTAGCTACTTCAGCTGTTATCACATGGACCCAAAGAAAAAAAGTTACAAATCTAGGAACTGTAAAGACTACTGGAACAGACCAACAGAAAGCAGTTAATGAGTTTTACAAGAGGAGGCCACGTCAGCACAACTAATCATCCACTTGCAACAGCTGTAACAGAAAGAAATCAAAGATTGTAAACAGTACAAGTAGTGAAGCACAAAGAGAAATAAGATAGTAATTCTTTCGGCATTAATCTCTCTCTCTCTCTCTCTCTCTCTCTCTCTCCTTCCAACGAATTCAGGAGGTTGGCTCCCTCGAAGAGACCTGAGTTAGGCAGGTTCCTAACAAGTTGGTATCAGAGCCAGTATGACCAACACAAGAAACACGCCAGTAGACACCCGAGTGGATCAGATGGAGGTAGAGATCCATAGAATGTCTTCAGATCTCAAAGAAATGAAGGAAGGTTTCACTGCTCTCCTCAATCGACTGGAGCAGGGGGCAACGAACAACGACAGAGGAAGCCAAGAAGAGCGCAGCAATGAAAACAACCGTAGAACAGGGCCGGCGGCAACGAGAGCAGCCAAAAGCAATTTCCCCGTCTTCTCAGGCGGCGACCCAACTCCCTGGATTCTCAGAGCCGAACGGTATTTCGATTACCATGAGACACCTGGGCAAGACAGGGTAGCTCTGGCTTCTGTGCATCTTGAAGGGGAAGCTATCCTCTGGTTTCAAAGGTACCGACGGGGGCACCCTCGTCAAACTTGGGCAAACTTCACGGATGCCATGACTATCCGTTTTGGATCGTCTAGGTTCGAAGATCATGATGAGAGTTTGGCAAAGCTACAGCAGGTGGGATCAGTTAAAGATTACCAGATGAAGTTCGAAAAGCTGGCCGTGAGAGTCCAAGGGTGGACGGAGAAGGCATTGGTGGGAAGCTTCATCGGCGGCATAAAAGAAGAACTGTGACTGGAAGTAAAGGCGATGCAGCCCACTTCGGTCATAAATGTGACAGCGCTAGCAAGATTGTATGAGGATAAGTTCGCTCGAGCAAGAAAGGTGCAACGACCATGGGGTCCAGGAACAAGGACAACAGCACCAAACAAGGAGGAAGGAATATTGGGCCCAGGCCCATTGGTTCCTTTCAAACGGCTGACCTGGGCAGAGATGCAAGCCCACAGAGACAAAGGACTTTGTTACAACTGCGAAGAGAAATTCGGGCTGGGCCATCGGTGCAAGAAACAACAAGCATTTCTCCTCCAAACAGATGTCGAAGAGGAAGACGACCTCACCGATTGCAGAGAATCTAACCCAGGGTGGGAAATACAATCCAATGGCACACCAGAAATATCTCTACAAGCCCTTACGGGACTTGCGTCCCCTCAAACAATGAGAGTTGTAGGGCTAATCCAGGGACGCCAAGTGGCAATCCTCATAGACAGTGGCAGTTCCCTTAACTTCATAACTCAAGTCTTGGTGGATAAAATGGGACTCCCGATTCAACCAACAACGGCTTTTACGGTTCATGTGGCCAACGGTAATAGCCTATCCTGCAATAGCATTTGCATGGGCCTACCACTAAAGGTTCAAGGTCACCAGTTTGCAATGGACCTATATCCTCTTCATCTCAATGGAGCGGACGTGGTGCTCGGCATTCAATGGTTAAGACAGCTAGGGCCCGTGATCTGTGATTGGGCCCATCTCACCATGGACTTCGCATCATAAAACTCTACAGTCCATCTACAAGGGCAAACATGCAAGGGTCCAAGGAAAGCAAATAGGAGATCCGGATCAGCCCATATTCATGCACATGGACTCAAATTGGACCAGCCCATCTTTAGCTAACAGCAGCCCAGATGGGCCTAGAGACTTCCAAAGCTGCCTACAACAACTCCTTCAGCACTATGGCAGCGTGTTCGAAGAACCCCAAGAACTTCCACCACGCCAGGAGCATGACCACTGCATCCCCCTCATGTCGGGAGCTGCCCCAACCAATGTAAGACCCTACCGATACCCTTACTTTCAAAAATTTGAAATCAAGAAGCAAGTTCAAGATATGCTTAAGCAAGGGATAATACAGCCCAGTCACAACCCATTCTCTTCACCGATATTATTAGTCAAAAAAAAAAGGATGGGACGTGGCGATTTTGTATTGATTACAGAGCCCTTAACAATATCACCATTAAAGACTGATTTCCAATACCAGTCATTGATGAGTTGCCTGATGAACTCAGTCAAGCCACCATATTCTCAAAATTAGATTTACGAGTTGGGTATCATCAAATAAGGGTACATAGGGAGGATGTTCACAAAACGGCTTTCAGGACACATGATGGCCACTATGAGTTCCTGGTCATGCCATTTGGGCTGACCAATGCTCTAGCCACATTTCAAGCGTTAATGAATGACATATTCTGGCCATATTTACGTAAGTTCATCCTTGTTTTCTTTGATGACATATTGGTCTATAGCCCCAATTGGGAGGAACATCTGAATCATCTACAGGTCACCCTTGCAACACTTGAAGCCCACCAGTTGTTCGCTAAAGAGTCCAAGTGCTCCTTTGGACAAAACCAAGTTCACTACTTGGGACATGTTGTAGAGAAGGGAACTGTAGCGGCCGACCCAAATAAAATCTCCAGTATAATGGGCTGGCCGCAACCCAAAAGTGTGAAAGAGTTGAGGGCCTTCTTGGGCCTGACTGGGTACTACCGCTGCTTCATCAAAAACTATGGCCTAATAGCTACCCCGTTGACCCAATTGCTGAAACAAGACGCTTTCACTAGTCAACCCAGGCCCAACTAGCTTTTGAGCAATTGAGACAACCAGTTGCGAGCCCTCCAACATTAGCATTGCCCGATTTCACAAAAGACTTCATCATTGAGTGTGATGCCTCCGGTCAAAGTGTTGGGTTTGTTCTCATGCAAGAGGGGCGACCACGAGCCTTTTTCAGCAAGGCCTTAACATCACAAAAGTGGGCCAAACCAGTTTATGAACGAGAATTAATAGCAGTGGTCTTAGCAATCCAACGTTGGCAATCCTACTTGCTTGGTAGACGGTTCATAATTCGGACCGACCATCAAATTTTGTAGTTCTTATTGGATCAATCAGTCCTATCCTCGGAACAACAACAATGGATATCCAAGCTACTGGGGTACGACTACATAATTGAGTACAAAGCAGGGGCTACTAACCGGGTGGCTGACGCCCTCTCACGGCACCCACAATCATTTCAGTTACTAGTATCTTCCCCAACTTCTCCACTCCGGGATCTACTTCGAAAAGAAGCCCAATCCCATAGGGAGTTACAGCAGTTGAATGCCCAAGTATTGGCAAACCCCACACTGCACCCTGGGTACACCATTAAGAATGATCTACTCTTCTTCAAAGGACGACTGGAAATTCCGGCAGATTCTACTCATCTCAGTAAGCTCTTGGAATTATTCCATGCCTCACCCACAGGTGGCCACTCCGGCATCCTACGAACACAAAAACGCATCGCCACACAATTCCATTGGAAAGGCATGCGTACATCTATCCAGAACTTCATAGTCGGGTGTGCAATATGCCAACAAAACAAGTCGGCCACTACAACACCAACATGCCTTTTGCAACCACTCCCAATACCAACTCAAGTCTGGGATGATATATCAATGGATTTCATCACAGGATTGCTCGTTTCTGCCGGCAAAACAGTTATCCTTGTAATAGTGGATAGATTGATGAAATACAGTCATTTCCTACCTCTATCACACCCATTTACAGCAGTCACAGTTGCTGAATTGTTCCTCCGGGAAATTGTGCACCTACACGGGCTCCCCAGCTCAATTGTATCAGACAGGGACCCTATTTTTATGAGCCGTTTTTGGGCTGAGCTTTTTCGCCTGCACGGGGTTAAACTGTTCAAGTCAACTAGCTACCACCCCCAATCTGATGGACAGATAGAGGCGATTAACAAGAGTCTCGAAACATATTTGAGATGATTTGCAGGAGATCGACCAAGACAATGGGTGAAGTGGATCCACTGGGTTGAATGGTGGTACAACACCACTTTCCATAGCGCCGCGAGGATGACACCCTTCAGAGCTCTATATGGTCGGGACCCTCCCCCTCTACTTCCTTATGAAAAAGGGACCACCACAGTAGCAGTCGTAGAAGAAAAGTTGACGCAACGAGATGAGGTGTTAAAGGAACTGAGACATCATCTCTTACAGGCACAGCAATGGATGAAGCACATCTATGATAAACATCACAAGAATGTCCAATATGAAGTCGGTGATTGGGTGTTTCTCAAATTACAACCTTTCAGACAGATTTCAGTTGCAAGCCGACAGGAACAAACTCAGCCCGCGCTATTTTGGACCATTTAAAATCCTTGAAAGAATAGGGTCAGTGGCCTACAAGCTGGACCTTCCAGCAACATCAAAACTGCACCATGTATTCCATATCTCCTTACTTAAGAAAGGGCCGAAGTCAGGAGTCATTACAAGTGCAACCCTTCCCACATTTTCAGAAGAAGGACAACTGCAGACTGAGCATGCCCGCATCATTGATTTCAGATGGGTGCGCCGGGGTGGAAGAGTCGTACCAAAAGCATTAGTTGTTTGGTCTAAATTCTTAGAAGAGGATGCAACCTGAGAATCCTACTTAGATCTGCAATCAAATTTTCCCACATTAGACCTTGAGGGCAAGGTCGCTCTAAAGGAAGGGGGGATTGTAAAGACTACTGGAACAAACCAACAGAAAGCAGTTAATCAGTTTTACAAGAGGAGGCCATGTTAGCACAACTAATTGTCCACTTGCAACAGCTGTAACAGAAAGAAATCAAAGATTGTAAACAGTATAAGTAGTGAAGCACAAAGAGAAATAAGATAGTAATCTTTTGGCACTAATCTCTCTCTCCTTCCAACGAATTCAGGAGGTTGGCTCCCTCAAAGAGCCCTGAGTTAGGCAGGTTCCTAACAGGAAACATTGTATTAAGGAGATTTCATAATTAACATTTATAAATTGTAATTATTTTGCAACCACAAGGGAATAGCATATATCCATATAAGCTGAAAGTCCACAACAAAGTAAAAATCTAACTTCCACATTAATATGTTTTAAACAGACAATGGAATTTGTAGCAGTACCCTCAGCACAAAAATGTACTTCCCTAACAATTAGAAGAAAACAGATTTTTATGGACCAAAAAAACTAAATTAGTAATAAGAAAAAGGCCAATACCATCTTGAATACATAAAAATATACCCCTGAATAGAAGATATTAACAAACCATATGGTAAAAAGAAACCCCTTCCAAATAATAGACATTCCTCACATTCCCTTTTCCTTTTCTTCTATTTTTGTTTCCAGGTTTGTTTTGGATAAACTACAGGAACCCCCCTACACTTAGGGAGCATGACAGTTAGCCCCCAGTACTATTTTTTGTGACACTCGGTCTCTTATACTTTCATATCATGACAAATAACCCCTTCCATAATGATTCTGACACAGGAGTTAATGTTTTTTTTGGGGGTGGGGGTAAGCAACAAAGATTTCATTTAAAGAAAATAGTGCATACAGAGCTAGAGACAACAGGAGAGAAACAAGACAGAGAAAACAGATCAATCAAACACCACCCCTACAAAAAATGCTATATATCATACATATGTCATACTGAAATGTGCATTGCAAGACAACTCCAAAATCCTAAAATTCTCTGGTCTACTTTAAAAGACTATGGCCCCATTCAGCGCATCTTTTCGTGCGGTCTGTCAACTATTTACAAGCCCAGCAGACCGCAATTCAGTCTTTTCCCATTTGGTTTGCGGCAGATTTTCGGGAAGTGCTCAGATCTAGCCGCCAAAAGCTGGCGTGCCAAAAAGACACGAGAAGCTCAAATCGGGCGATTTTCGGGAAGCTCCAAATGGAGCTTTTGCATTTTTTTTTCTATTTGTCTTCGTGTGGAAAGGCACGCCTTAACCAAACGGGCTTCAGGCTGCTCAAATCTTAATGCAAAACCTCAATGCGTCTTTTGACTGTACCATAATATCTTCCCAAAAGACTTGCCAAATGGCCCCTATTTTGGTCATTTCCCAGTTTTTTTGGATCAGCAGAAGACCATTTTGGCCTTTTCCCAGTTAAATCCCTTGTCCATCCAGAAAATGTACCAAATCAACAGAATAATCTAGGCTACCAAGATGATCTCCCCTAAGAGTTTCAACTAATCTTATCCATCCAAGCAATGTACCAGAGTTTCAACTAATCTCAGCCATTCAAGTAAAGCAACTAATTTTCTAACAAAAAATGTGATCCAAATAAAGTGATGTACCAAATGACCAATGATTTAAAAGGAGCACCAAAGTAGGCAAGGTGCATTTCAAGGTATGTGCCTCACCTAGGTCCAGGCGCAGCTGCTTAGAAGAGGTGGGCACCTGGTGCACCTAGTTCACCTTGCGCCTCAGCCCAGGATGTGCTTCAATTCAATTTTGTGTTTTTTTTAAGCATGGTGACTGGGCCAGAGGTTCCACCCTCAGACCCCCAACCAAGCCCCTTCAGACAAGCCCAAACAAGTCCATGCTAGGGTCTTATTTATAATCACAAAACCAATCTTTTACATACAAGTTATGAATTGAAGACCTTAGCATGGACTTTTTTGAGCTTTTTCAAGGAGCTTGGTACAAAGGCAGCTCATAGAATTAGGAAAGCAAGATGTTTGACATTTCATTAGCTATTTGAAGAAATGTGCTTGGGAAAGTAATGAAGAGATTGAAAGTTTCACATGCTTGAATATGTTTTATATTTTATGCTTATGCGTTTTAATTTGAGCTAGTAGGCTTTTTTTTAAAAAAATAGTTTAAAATTTAAGTTTGCATTTTTATATTAATATTATTTTTAATGTTTTGATTTTTTTGCATTTTTTGAAATTTTTAAAAATTTTGCACCTTCTTCAAAAAGGAGTGCACCTCACCTCGAGCCTTGTGCTTCAAGCCACTAATTCCAACCATCCGAGCCATCAAAATGGCATCCAAAGATCAGTCCACTAATTCCAACCATCCAAATGATGTACCAAGATTTCATCTAATCTAGCCCATCCAAATAATGTTTTTTTTATGAATCCCATCCAAATAATGTATCTAATCAACCAAAAGATCTAGGGCATCAAAGTGGTCTCCTATGATCAGTGACTAATCTTAATGCAAGTGATGTAGCAATATTTCAACGAATCTAGGCTTCCCAGACAATATGCGTGCATAAATCCAAAATCTAGGCTACCGAAGTGGTCTCCCAAGAGCAAAGGATTAATCTCGGCAATCCAAGCAACATAACAAGATTTCAACTAATCTCAAATATTTAAGCACACCAAAATTCCTAAAAAAATCCATGTCAAATAAAGCGATGCACAAAACATAAACCAAAGATCTGGACTATCAGAATGGTGATGATGTAAGAAGATTTTAACCAATTTGTCCCAACTAAATGAGATAATTTATCTAAATCATTAAAGTGTTCTCCTGAGATCAATGGACTAATCCCAATCCTCCAAATGATACCCAGCACTGGATATGGCAATAAACAGAACGAATGGTGATGATGTATCAAATGATGATGATGATGCCATGATTTCAACTAATCTAAGCCATCCAAATAATGTATCAAACAACACAAAAAACAAGGCCATCAAAATGATATCCATAAATAAAGCAATGGATTTGAACTGTCTAAATAATGTGTCAGGGTTTTCAAATGGAAGAATATACAATTTCTGCTGTTAACCAACATCAGACATCACCAGTCTCAATTTTTGCTTTAAAAACTCAAAAATGATATATGTTGTTGACAATTAGATAACTTCCCATCCGCCATTAATGTAATTAGAAGGTTCAACATTGTGTATGCACAGATTCATCAAAAAGAAAAACAACATTGTGTATGCACAGGGGGTTATGTGTCATCAAAAAATAGTACAGGAGGCTAAGTGTCACCCTCCCCCCAAGTACAAGGGGATCCCTATAATTTAACCCTTTTTTGTTGGACTAAATTACTGATTGTAACTATTAATCAGTGTTTTAAAACATGGAGGCGTGAGGCGATCCACTACCTAGAAGCGTAAGCTTCCTTAAGAGGAGAGGGGTCAAGAGGAAGAAGGAAGAGGAAGGGGAGGAGGAAGAAGAGGAAGGGGGGATCTCATTTTTTCTTTATTTTTAATAAAATTCCTTTATATTAAGAAGAATAAAGATGCACAGCACTAGTTGAAAGGGGGATCTCATTCTTTCCCTTCCCTTTCTTTTCTTTCCTTTCCTTTCCGTTTTTTCTTTTTTTTTCAGTCTTTTTATATGAGGTGTGCATGAGGCGCATGAGGCATACACCTCTTGCACCTGAGGCGAATACCTCGGAGGTATCAGCACCTCTGACATAAAACCAATTATTTTTTAAAGGCACAATTTAACACTGAAAATCATCTGGAAGTGAAAACAATACCCAATGTACAAAAGTTCTCCAACATCCCAGCACATGGCACTGAGTCTCGTAATGAGACCAGTAATTACAATTTAATATCAAAACATCCCAAAAAGGAAGTTTTTGCTAGTTACTTGTCAATCTTCACCAATGAACACAAATTTACTTTATGCTTTCATACAAAAATACGTGTAAAACGCATAAATAACCATCATACATTAAAGCGATCATTGTGCACTGACTTATAGATTTTAGACCACGTAAAACCCTATAAAATGTGTAACTGAAAGAACATGCTCCAGATACACTGGAGTTCTAATGGCAGATTTCGTACTGAAAAAAAAAATAATTCTCTAAAAATGTCCTAAAAAGATTCTTTTGCAAATAAATGCAAGCACCAAACAAGCACAACGGACGCCTATAGTCCTAAAAGAAATTCAAACCAATCACGACAATTAGGATTATCAACCAAAAGGAATGCGTATGAGGGGTGGAAACCTACCAAAAGTGGTGAAATGACCCAAACTACGGTGACCAAATAGTTTGACAAATTTTAGCGAAACAAATAAGGAAAAATCAAGGTAAAAAAGGCATACCTGCGTGAACTTATGAAACAGCTCATCCTTTGAACTTCCAGGTTCCAGGCTTAACAACTGAATAACCTTCCCAAAGAAATGCAAGTAAACGACAAGCGCTGTCCCATGAGCCGCAGCAGCTAGTGATCCGACAACCATCAGAACCCAGTCCAATCTATCCGCACAAGCAAATAACCTTGAGAAAGGAACAGCGGCAGGCGGTGGCTCGATCTCCTCGGTCTCCTCAATCCCAACTTCTTCTTCCACAGGCACAACTTCAGGGTTCGAATCCAAGTACGGGGACGGCGACTCCGGCGGCTCCGACACCTCTGAAACCGGAGTTAAAGGCTGTATATGCGGGGGAGACCACCCGAAAAGGCCTCTTGATAGCATCATCTTCGCAACAATTTCGTAAACCCTAAACCCTAGTTCATCAAAACCCTAAAGTACTTGAAGCCGAAAGCACACACATCTACGGATCTAGGGCTAAATTTTGATGCAAACGAAATGTCAAAATAAAAATATTAACACTCAGAGTAAGCAAATTCTTTTATTCCACTCAAGGGTTTTGTATCTTCTTCTCTTCATTGATCAAATCCGAGCGAAGAATCCCGTCACAAATTGCTGAGTTGGTCAAACAAGGCGAATAGAAGAAATAAAGGAAGGCTTGCATACGCAACTTAGTCTCTACCCCCTCTAAACTCTGTCCCCTCCTTTTTCTTTCCACTATCTATCTCTAATTTGGTGGTATTTCCGAGTAAACGGTGGTTTCCGGGCAACGTTGCTTCCCGGTCGCGTCCCTTCCACCCTATCTCTCTAACTTGACACCGCCGGAGTTAAAAAAAGCAAAGAAGCGTTCTTTTCTTTGCGAGACCATTCATCTCCCGCACACATCATTATTCATTACGGGGCGCTTTTTGTGTGTGCCAGTCCAGCTTCTGTGTTTCTCTCTCCTCTCCTCTCTCTCTCTTCTCTCCCCTCACACTCTGTTTTTTCTGTTTGTTTATTATTACTTCATTTGATGGCTTCTTTTCAACTAAAACGAAAGTTAATACATATTTAAATAGTGAGAGAAGAAAAAAGAATAAAGAATCGTTCGTTATCATGGACCTAACGGAAGAAGAAAGTGTGTCTTTAATATGGATGGGCAGTTTATCTCCTTCGTTGACCATAAATAGCAGAAATTCCAACTGTCATTTCAATGAATATGTAGAGAGAGGGTAAGACAGACAATAATCTGAAATGTGCAGGTTATTTTGGTAATCCAAGAGGTTTATCTCCTTCGTTGCGATTATCCAATATCCACAGTAGGACCAACCGGGGGTATTTTGGGAAGAGTGAATATGTGGAGATCATAGTCAGTCAAGGCAATAAGCACCTGGAGGCTGGAATGCTGGATGATTAACCAAAATATCTATGGTATTTTAATCCATTGACGGAAAAGCCCAGGTGGTGGCCCTCGTTCTCAGTCCGAATCTGAAAAACGGTAGCGAGAAGTGATTATGATGCAACGGTTTCCAAATTTTAAACTACATATAAATGTGCAAAAATGTTTAAGCTCGACTGTAGGACCGACCAGGCTCTGACAACCGTGGGATGGGAATAATTGCGTTGGTGTGTCTCACTTCCACCACCCACGTGGAAGTAGTCGGTATCATGCAAGTGTAGGATATAAAATCGAATAATTGGTTCAGCACCTCGCTGAGGGATATATACATATACACCGTTTGATTATAAGCCACAATCCAGAGATTGTCTTTACCAAATCGGATCCCAGAAATCAAATCAGTGAAGGACGTAGTTGTTGGTATCATTTGTGGATGATTTGAGAGTTTTCAGATTTGATTATATGGATTAATTCCCAATTTCCATAATACTGCCCCACCACTTCCCAGTGCCCACTCGTAGTTGCGTCATTGCGTGGGCCGCGGACCAATTTGCCGGAAAACACTGTGGCATATGAATACAACGGAGGGAGACACGATGCAGCCTTTAAACAAACATCGTCTTCTTCCCGGCTCCCGCCAATCTCCTTTGTTATTTTTTGAATTCTGATGCATTTGGCCAAATCTGTAAATTTCGTGGTTTTAGATGGGTTAATGACTAGGAGTCTGTAAATGGGTAGTGTCCATCTAGAATCGAATCGGCCTAAACTAATCCTATCAAATTTGTTATAGGGTAGTTTTGATTCTTGGAACTGACCTTATCCAAGTCAGTTATAGGGTCAGGGTTTATACTAACTGAACCGACATGGTGAATCGCCCTTGGCTTTGATGAAATCGGCTTTGGACTAAATTTGTCTTTAAATAAATCCTAAAATATTTTGAAGGATGTGAAGATTTGAATCCAAACACTCATGGTCAAGATTCAAAGTATCGATACATATCGTGCCGATGGCTTACCGATACATCCCTCCATGGGGTTGTATCAGGTCAGCTACCGGTTCAGAGGGTAGTCAGGCCTTAAACCGACCTCTCTAAACCAATTTCGAAACAAATAAATAAAACTAAAAAAATGTACCAACACAGGGCATATCGGCCCGTGTCGATATTTGGAACCTTGCTCATGGTTATAAAAGCCATGGTCTCATTTTATTGAGTTACTTAATGATTTGATCATTTATTTTCATTTTAATATTTGAATGTGTATAATAACTAATATAAAAAGTAATATTTATAGATTGTAAGTATAATGATACATTTTTAACCATATATTAATATATTATTATAATCTACATATTAAATTATTTAATTTAATCAATAAAGATAATATATGTTAAACTATGTATTATCATTGTTGAAAATCAATTTTTTAAAAGACATGTTTCATTTTTTAAAGGGAATAATAAATAAAGAACAGGTTTCGTGGATAAACCCTAAAACCAACCTTCACAATATAGGTTATGGTCTCAAAAACTTGGTATGCCATAAAACCAAACCGAACCATCCTATGCTCACTCCTACTAATGACTATGAGAAGAGAAATGCAAACAGAGGGATAGGCATAAACCATCATAGTCGTCCCCGAAAAACTACCAAGATCTTGTGCCCCACATATTATTCCCCTCCTGGCTTATGATGACATTGTTCGACTTGGGTGAGGTATGATCACAATAAGTATTGCAAACTTGTTATATACTTCTATGAAGCAGTTGGACAGTTTTTTTTTTTTTTTTGAAAAATTCCTGATTAGTACCATGTACTTTACACCTAGTGACACTTTAGTCCCCAAACTTTAAAATGCGACAATTCAATATTTGAATTTTCAAAACGTGTCAATTCAATACCTACCGTTAACCATCGATTAACCAGCCATTAAGTGGCATTTGAAAAAGACACAATTGCCCTTCAAATGTCATCTAATTTTCTTTATAAACCATTTAAATATTGACAAAAAAATTAATAGCCCCAAATCCTTGCTTATCTCTTCTATTCAAGAAATTTGGGATCATGTATCAGTGGACATTCTGGTGACCCCAACTTTTTTTAAATAGAAGATGTAGTGATTTGGGACCGTTAATTTTCTATCAATATTTGGATGGTTGATAAAAAAATCAAATGACACTAGGGGTATTCACATTAAATGTCAAATCGATTAAACCGGCCCGATCCAACCCAAGTTTTTGGCATCAATTTGATTTTTATATTATGTGAGCATCAAAATTTACAAATAAGATAAAACAAACTTTACTTTTTTTATCACTTGTCGTTCTAATAAATGGTTTATTCATCCGCCCTATGAAGCAGGGGCCCATCTGCCAGTAGTAATCAAAATAAAATATGTTAAAAATCTAGAGTTGAACCAGGATTAACTGAAGTACAAGAAGAGTTTTGGGAACCAAAGTAGAAGAACACGGGTTGTAATAGGATAAAGAAGAAATGAAAGAAGAGGATAGAGAATGGTAAGGCAATAGGAGAAAGAGTAAAGAAAGGAAGAGGATAAAGAAAGAAGGAGGTGGCCAACCTAATAATTGATTTGCCGCCTGTCTAGGTCATAGGTAGAAAGAAAGGAGAAAAGAAGAGGGTAGAAAAAGGACGAATAGAAGAGGAAACATTTAAAAAAAAAAAAAGATGGAACTGCCAATGAGTTTGTTCGTCACCTCATTTGGATAGAAAATGCAAAGCTAGTTGCCACCTTGTGCTTACGACGACAATCATCATGTCGGTTACTTCTAATGAGAATCACTAGTCACCACCGGCTGCTTTTGATGAAAATCAATGGTTAGGAGTAGACTTATTCATGGCCCGGGTAATTCGACAGTTTGGCCCAGTCTCGATTTGGCTTGGACATGTTATTAGGCCCGTGGGTTCAGGTTCGGCCTCATTATCTAAGCCTAATTTAATTTCGGGTTGGGCTTGGGATTTCACAAAAAAAAAAAAAAACAGCCCAGCCCGCCGATATTTTATATATTAAAAATATTAATAATATACATACATTATTAAAAAATATAATAATATACCGTATGTTTTTTCCTAACCTTAATATACTGTCATCCCTCATTCCCAATTACAAGTCCATCAGCTCTCTCTCTCTCTCTCTTTTATCTATCTATCTATCTATCTATCTATCTATCTATATATATATATATATATATATCACCGACTGATGCAATGTATATTCTAGTTCTGGATTGGTGTCAAAAGAAAATTTACATTAGAATTTAGGCTCGAGCTTGAATATATTGTGTTGATAACAAGTGAAAGCCCGGCCCAGCCTAGCCTATAAACAGGTATAATTAGGAGATCAGACATCACTAACCACTTTGGATGGACAATTATGGATTTTTTATTTTCACAAAGGGACACGGACAATGGACAATGGACAATGCAGGACTCTCCATCATAAAAAAATTGGGATATGCTCTTTACGCCGATTCTACAACCATCACTACAGACCTTTGATGGATAGATACTAATGGCATTAGACTCTCAAACCCAATTTACTTCGGAATCCCATGGTCACTAGTTTGTAATCCCCCTTTGGCGCGAGACCAACCACAATACCCCTTGTCCTAGTCTGCGCTACGATAGCCATGTTAAACCCCCATCACAAGGACAAAAGAGGCAAAGGTGGGATTCTAAGTGCAAGCATGGCATCAAAGGTACTAAATGTAGGCAATGTGGGATTCATCACTCTAATGATCTAAAATCGAAGGTTCAAGGAGAATGGCGAGTTGAACCAAGGGGAGGAAAGGAGTTGGACCAAACCCCTGGAGGGACCGTGTACATACCCTTTGGCAAGGGATCATGCCACTGCATTTTGTTGGTTCTAGAATTTGGATGGGAGGGAGATGATATCGTAAAAGGGAGGTTGGAGAGGCTAAGGCTGCATTTGACATTCATTATTTTAAGGACTTAATTATATCCTTTTTGCAGTTAAAATGCCCTTATGAACAATGAATTTTTAACGGCAAAATAAGGAGTTCAGTTCTTAAAATAAGGAATGTTAAATGTAGCCTAAGAGAAGTTGCAAAGAGGAGGGTTCCAAATCTTAAATTTGAGATATGAGAGGTGTGCTTTCATGTGGGAAAAATTCTCAAGCCAAAAGGAGCTCACACAATCGAGGGTTATTCGATTTCACATCTGCTCCCCACAATACATCCCCCACATTGGGAACATCTCCCGATAATAGTATAGGAGATGATGAGACATCATTGAAAGAAATTCCCAATACAAGGTGGGGATGTCCTGTGGGACATTGTGGGGCACAGATGTGAACTCGGGTTATTCATGCGTGCTCCAAATCTCCTTGGGGATCCTCTATTTATAGATTTTTCTTAGGAAGTTTTCTTTTATGGAAAGTTCCTTTTTGAGTTTGTTCTGTAGTTATTCAATTGGTGCCACATATCCATGTAATTACCTAGGTACTTAGGCTCCCACCCTTTCCTAACATGTGCATGTGAGGATGTGAGTAGTTACATCCCTTCATGGGCCTCTAAGAAATTGTGATGAGAGACTGAGTGCGATAGAGCTAAATGCGATGATGATGATGATGCATTATTGCGAGGCTAAGTGTGA